GCTGGCACTTCCAGTTCTGGTTCCACCGGACAGCAGAGTGTGGATCCTATCCCCACAGCAGAGAGTAAAAAGCTGTCGCCTTCACACCCTGCCTTTCCACTGCAGCTCAGTACAAGATCTACTTTTAGATCGTTGACATAGGTTTTACCTAACTGCTTTTTATTTAGGCACAGAAACAATATGAGTAGCACACATTCACAAGGTGGTCCTAGAAAGTAACAAGGCAAGCAGGATAAGGCTCCAGAAATAGCTAGCAAGTTTGTTGTGTGACAGATCTCCCCTAGCTCTTGCAGGGCAGGAGATTTTAGAGGACATACCTGGATCATTTGTGGATTTCTGGATGGCTTTGGGTCCAAAAAAGCTCCATCTTTCAGATGGCAATTTGTCCCCACCAGCTTCCATGGCAAAGTCTGGTCCAGTGATAGAAGCAGAGGATCCCTGACTAAACCAACCCCTAGGGAAAAATCATTGAGATTTTTGAAATGGAATGATGAAAATAAATACTTCAAGCGGCCTCACTGTGCCAGGAGCTTTACATGTAGTTATCAGGGGCAATTTAAACAATCTTAATAGGTTTGTTACCACCCAGAATAAAGATATGTATACTCAAGTTCCACAAGCTTTCAACACTTGGATCTATCCAACACAAATGCACAGCAGGCTCTGAATTTCACCCCTCAGACAGTCCCTCACTGGATAAGGTTATTTGTAGCAGCTCCCACCTCAGCAGCCTGTAGGAAACCAAAGGAGGTAGTGGTCTATCAGGAACAGAGTACCTGTTTTTATGCTTGGGAGAGGAGTGGGGAGTGCTGCTTGGAGTGGACTGAGCAGAAGAAGTCTGTTTGTCATCTTTTGTCATCTCTCCACTCTGCATTTTTAGCTTCTGTTAGGAGAGGCAAGAGAAACACAGAAGCAACAGAGCTTAAATACAAGACATAAGGAACCTCCAGTTTTATTATAAACAATTGTCCCGTTTTGACATCACAGGTGATAAAGGATTTAAGTGTCACCTCACCTAAAGCTAAACACAGTATTACAATACTTGCATACAGCTCACTCTGCAGTTCAGTCACTACCCAACAGTAATACACTGCTTCAATACCAGCATTCATAGGGACACTGCAGATGTAGCAGAGCTAGCTTACACATCAGTTCAGCTACCTGGTAACAAGTCTAAATGCCACAGCAACCATTTGTCCGCAGCACTTTCCAGAGCAACAAAGTTTACAGTCCCACAAGTTCTCTAATGAAGGCGAGACCAGACCTCACACAGAAGGTACAAGGTCTAGGAGTACTAGACCCTGAGAAGTAATCCACATACAACAGGATGGAAACACTGCTCTAGAACACTGAGATGAACTGTATTTGAAGAGTACGCCTGGTCATAAAACAAACAGGAACTGGGTGTATGTGAACCAGGTTATTACAAGTCAGACAGTACAAACTGAACTTGAAGAAGTCACTTGAAGGGCAGTTATAGTTCAACACCAGCTACACAGGCACCTTCTCAAAATGTTTCCTGTGGCTACCCAAGCCACACTAATGCAATTCACCGACACTGTTACTGAAACTTTGACCTTGTGGGAGGTAATGCTTGGAGAGTTCGCTATTAAACTCCAACTGCAAGATTACTGTGGGCAACTGAGCTCATCAGAAACATGTTGATTCAAGACCTTTGTCTTTATTTCCAGTAAGAGGCAAGCCCAAGTTCATCTGCTAACTTCCACATCAGAAATGCACGGTTTACAAGTTCTCTTGGGACAAACAGTTACAACAGTCAACTGCAGGGCACCATCCAAAGGCACAGCAAGAAACTAGATTCTGTGTAGGGATGTCCCCACTTGGAAAGATGACTGTGATAGTCTGACATGACCGTGGAATGACAGACTTCAGGAAAAAGGTTGTTTCAAAACTATAAAGGCTAACGCTAATTTTAAAATATAAGTGGGTAACCTTTTTTACACAATGAGCTAAAAGCCTTCAGAGGAAGCAGTTTAAGGAGAGTCCTAGCAACATGCTCCAAAAGTTATGTCACCAGATGGGTCTCAAGCTAGTGCACAACTTACACGGAGAAAGCCAATGCAAAACAAGCCTTACGTGGACTGCCTCAGCCACTCGGTGGTACTTGGTCTCCTCAGTAGTGAGGCCTTTGTGGGGGGTGTAGCCAGCATCTCTCAGCCCTGCCTGCTGCTCAAAGCGCTGAATGCTCTCCTGAGTCTGCTCTGGAACGGACAAGAGCACATATTCACAGAAATGCCACCACAAGCAGTTCTAGCAAACAAAGGCAACTTAAGCAACCAAATGCAAGACCCTTTTTTCATCATTCATACCTACACGTTGTGATGAGTTGACAGAGGCAGCAAGATGAAGCTAATGAGATATTCTGACTTTAAAGCTATCCTGAGTCATAGGGCTAAGTCAAATGAGCAGTGATTTGTCTCAAATCACCAGATGTATTACAAATGCAACACCTGTAATTAAACCCATCTCACCCAAGAAGCTGCATCACTCCTAATCACAACTTCCTAAATCTAGGAGACCCCAATAAGCTGGACATTTTAAGTGGCCCTCTAGATTCAAGGGAGGGTTTTTTGCCAACAAAAAATGAAGTCTTCTGAAAGACTGCCCAGACTAGCTAATCTGACAGTCACAGCCAGCTATTGTCTCATGTCAAAGAGCCAGTCTTTACCACTGGTGGTAAAGGCAGTAAGACTCCCAGTGATTCTAGATTAGGTAAAATAAGCTATTTCAGCCAAATACAGAGCCAGCATATAATACACTGATATCGGCTTCAGTTCTGAAAAATATAAGCACTTCCCCCCCCCACTCTACCAGCACAAAATGTTCACTCCCTAGTGGAACTAAGAAAAAAGTCAAAAGGAATTAGAGCACAAAAAGACTACTGGAAAAACCCCAATGTCTTCTTAAACAGATAAGAATTCCCACGTTAATGTTACGGTTATTTGCAGGGATAGTGCAAATGATAGATGAGAAATCTAGAGGACCTTTGTCTGTTTATTTCCAACTTGTGACTGAATGTTCTTCCTGGGAGGTATAGGTTGGGGCTCCTGACTTCTTACTGCACAAGAACATTTTTAGGCCATCATCATTTTTCCTAGATTAGCATTTTATCATTAGACTAGAACAGGAGTTGCTTTCCAGAAGAAAGTTCATATTCCTGGATTTTATTTTGTGATGTGTTGGTTATTTTTGAGCCAAGACTGAAATAAGTGCAGATGTATAGCTATTTCAAAATGCTGGTCTGAAAATCTAGAAGTCTTTGGAAGCACTGCTTGGAGGAAAAGGTGAAGCTCTGATCCCAGCTGCTAAAAGAAGAGGCAACAGGGAAAGATTAACACGATTAATTCCTCTTGTCACAAATGGGCATGTCTTCTCTGCAAGCATAACTGACCCAATTTGATTTTAAAGCATTACGATTTATGAGGTTCATTTTTTTAAAGTAAGCATTACTTTAGTAAGACAGCTGCTGCTGCTATTAACTAACATAAATGCCAGCAAGTGCTCCATTAGCACAGTACATCAGCTCTCCACACCACTTTGGTTAATTTTAGAGCTTTACCTGCCATTCAGAAATAGCAAGTTAATAAGCAAACAGAGTAGCAGCAGCAGCCACCTCTGCACTCCAGCAACAAGGTGGCATGGACTGCAGCGTCCTATCAGCAGATAACATACCCTGCACTCCTCCCTCATCACCCACCTCCAGCACCTGGAAACAGAGGCAGTAAGTGTGGCCTATTCCCTAGTTCCTTGCTTCCTTCTAGGAGCATCCTCCAAAAAAACTCATACAGCTCAAGAGCAGAGTCGGTCTGAACCCACAAGCTGTCCAGGAACTCTGGTAGTTACCTTGAGGCATTACCAAGGCAGAGCACACTCATGTGCCCACACCCCATTAGCCACCACATGAGAGGTGAGAGTTCTTACTTGTAATGAGAGAGTTCATGATGATATGAGTGGCCTTGGCCTTCACCACAGGCACCTTGTTCACACTTTCAGTGGACGATGAAGGAGTTATAACGGGTGCATTCATGTTAGCATCCCCTTCCTCAACCTGTGGGGAAGAAGCAGGGTACAGTTTGGGAAAGTATCTCAGCACCTTGCCAGGACACATCTCTAGCTACTCAAATGAGACACAAAGTCAAGCTGCTCTAGTAGCTAGCCTTCATCCCACAGAAGAAACCCGTACCCTGTTCTCACTACAGCCCAGGAATGTTTAGAGCTTGAACCTTATAATTCTTAGCAACAAACAAGCAACTTGCATCCAACATTTGAAAACCTACCAAGCTCAGAGCCAACAAGTTGTTAATCTAAGTACAAGAAGGTCAACAGGAAAGAAACCAGAACATATCTACTTCCATTCTTGTAACTGCAAATTGGACTTCAAGGTCAACTGGGCAAGAGCACCCCTCCACAGACACAGAATGGCAGTCACACAGATTAGAGGCTGCTGTTTAGATCTTGTTTTCCTCCTCATTCCTTATATCAGTTTCTTGCTCAGTGTATTAGCAGTCGTAGTTCTACCACTGATCACGCGACCCTAGCAACAAAGAACCAGACAATGAATGCTAGAAAACAAGAAATCTTGTGAAACACACACTTCCTCCTCCTAACACAGGAGTTACTGTTCCCTGACCGGACAGTTTGCTTTTTGTGCCAAACCACAACTTTAGGTTTTCTTCCACGAGAAAGATTTTAAAACAAAACGAGGCAAAAAGTAGAGGTTAAGCTCAAAGGGATGCAGTTATTTACTTCCATTCAACAACATTTAACTTCAAACTTAGAAAACAGCCTCTAAATTTAGAGGAGCTGGCCCTGCACTCAAAGCATCCCCACAGTCGTTTCACAGAACAGTTTGCATTGAAAGGGACCTTCAGAGACCTTCAGAGACCATCTAGTCCAGCCCCCCTGCTGCAGGCAGGGACACCTGTCACTAGATCAGGTTCCTCAAAGCCTCACCCTCCCGACTTTAAACACTTCCAGGGATGGGGCATCCACAGCTTCTCCGGCAACCCGTTCCAGCGCCTCACCACCCTCACAGTAAAGAATTTACATCCAACCTAAATCTACCCTTTTGCTCTGGTTTAATTACACCCGGTTACAGCTTGCAGCTTTTTTACCCAAAAACGCCCCCCACAAGCGAGGAGACTCCCAGAACACGCCTATCTCCACCAGGCTTCAGCGTTCCCACACCAGGGCCAGGCAGCAAAGCCGGTCTCTTGTCC